TAGGTAAAAGGCAGAGGTGTGGGCAGGACGGTAAGTGCGGGCTTCCTCCGGCCCGGCGGCCTCGTCTAATTCCAAATTGTATGTGTGTCTCCCGACACCATCAATTTCCGCGTCCGTACACCTCCTTGTGATTTCGCTTCTCTAACCACCTCCAATCCGCCTGTCGGGTCTGCAGGCCTGCCCTGGAGCGGGGAGCGGGACGCCGCCCAGGACGGAGGCGTGGGGGTGACGGCCGACGTCCCCGGGGCCGCGGCACCTCCTTCCTCCGGGCCGGACCTTCCTCTGGGGGCTCCTCTGTGTCTTCCTAATTCCACCAATCGAGCATGTCTTTGTCGTCCCCTAGCCCGTAGAGCGATAGCCCGGCCGCGCCCCCGCGTTCCCGGGGAGGAAGCCCCAGAAAGGTGGCCGGGCTCTGCGTAGCCGGGGTCCCCGTCTTGCAAACTCTTGGTGGCCGAGACGCGCCTGTGACCGCTCGGATGGGACCCGCCCGCCGGGAGGCCCGCCCGCGCCCTAATCTCCCCTCTGCCTCTGTTTTTAAGGCATCACAAGCCTGCTGGCCAACGGCGTGTACTCGGCCGCGTACCCGCTGCATGACGTAAGTGACCTTGACTCCCGCAGTCCCCACGGGCCACGCTTCCCCCGGGCGCTCGTTATCCGGGGGCCGGCAGCGGCTTCCTGCCTGGCTCTGGTCGTAAGTGTCAGCCGCGAACCCAGGGCTGGCCTGTCCCCCCACGCGGGGACCCAGGGGCGGCACCCAGGGCCATCCTTTCTCGCAGACCGATCCCACCCAGACGGGGACATTCACGGCGGGCTCTGTGACCCGCCCAGGCCCCAGCCCCAGCCCCCTCCCGGGCTCTGTGGGTATCTATTTCCCGGCTTCCTGGGACAAAGCACCAAATCCCACCGGTACCCCCTGACAAATATAGCCTGTGGCCGCCGCAGTGCGTTGGCGTGGGGGGGCGGGGGGAGGAGAGAGGATTCTCTTCTTCCCGTCTCTATGGCAACGGGGACTCGCGTGCCGCGGGGCGCCAGGAATGGGGCCGCGGGGGCCAGAGCAGTGTGGGAACCCCGGACGAGGAGCTCTGGGACTTTGACCAGGAGCCAAGATGCAGGAGAGCCAGGGTTCGGGCCTGGGCGCCTGGGGACCGGGTCTGGGCCCGGCCACTCGCTCTCGCCGGCCTGGAGTCGCGGGTCAGCCCCCATCCTCGCGAGCCTCCGTGTCCCCGCCTGTGGCCCTGTCTGATGGTCCCGGCGAGCCGTGGGTCTTGGGGGGACACAGACAGCAGTGAGCTTTGACAGAGTTCCCTGGATTCGATTCCCGTAAAGTGCCGGGGGGTGCGGAGGACGGCCCAGGGGTCTCTTCCAGGCCTGTCACCCCCAAGGAAAAGGCACCCCGTCCCCACGGCCATCAGGGCCTCCCCTCCCTGTGGGGCCAGGGATCCGGGGTCAGCCAGCCCAGCCTCTTTGCTTGTCTCTTTGCCCATGCTGTTCCTCGAGCGGTTTCGTGGCCCACCCGCCGCAGGCCGACCGAAGCCTCCGCCCCACCCAGCCTTCCCATGTCCTGCCGCTGGCGCTGTGGTCTCTTCCGCCCTCCCCGGGGCTTCTGAGCTACAAAGCCTCCCCCGTCTGCCGGTCTCGTGCGTGGTGTGTCTTTTCCCAGAAGCCCCAGGGCCCGGCACATAGTAGGTGCTCAGGAAATGTGGTGTGAATTTGGACCGGCTTGAGTCAGGTGGCCTTGGCCAGTGGCCTGCTGTCCGTGGATGTCTCGAGGGCAGGACGCAGGCCCTGGCCTCCACTCCTGGCTCCTCCCTCAGAGCCGTGGGCCGGAAGAGCCTCCCCCGTCTGTCCGTCCGTCCCACCTCCCCCATCCATCCGGGCAGTCTTCCTCCGTAGTTCCGGCTGGTTCCCTCGCCCAGCCCCGTGCTGGGCCGGCTCCGTCTGGGCACCAAGAATGCAGCCCTGCCCGGCACAGCTCTGTGACCCTCAGAGAAGGCCGCCCAGGCCACATCCGTGCCCCTGACTGGCCCATGGGCGAGTGGTCCCTGCCAAGAAGTTAGGGCACAGGGGCTAGAATGTTTCGGGGTCTCCCACCTGTTTGAGTCAGTCCTTCGAGTGTTAAAAAAAGAAAGGCGACCGGGCACCGTAGCGCACGCCTGTGAGCCCAGCACTTTGGGAGGCCGAGGCTGGAGGATCGTTGGGGCCCAGGAGTTGGAGACCAGCCTAGGCAACGTCGTGAGACCTCGTCTCTATGAAAAAGAGATTTTTAAAATTATCTGGGTGTAGTGGCACCAGCTACTCCACAGGCTGAAGCGGGAGGATCGCTTGAGCCCAGGAGGTCAAGGTTGGGTGAGCGGTGATCGTGCCCCTGCACTCCAGCCTGGGCAACAGGGAGACCCCCGACTCAAAAAAAAAAAACTTTTAAAATGAGAGCAATCAGCACATCTGAGCACCTGCTGTATACAGAGCACTGTGCTCAGTGGGACCTTTACCTCGTTTAATCGGGTGCAGATGCCGAGACTCAGAGAGGTTTAGCAGCTTGCCTGAGGTCACACAGCCCCAGAGGGGAGTGGGGCCAAAGCCATCCAGGTTGGCATTCTGCTACTCCAGTCTCCAGCTGCAGGGGCCTTTTCCTTCCCAGAGGCCAAATGACTCCCTCCTCCCTTGGGCCTGCCAGCAGTCAACCGATCTCTCGAGAGGCACCACTGAGACCCACATGGAGAAGCCCCTCTCTCCCAGCCGTCCTTTGACCTTACACAGCAGCAGGGAAGCCTGAGGTGTGGGGTCTGTTCCCACTTTAAACATGGAGGCCGGGTGCAGGGGCTCACGCCTGTCATCCCAGCACTTTGGGAGGCCGAGGCAGGAGGGTCGCTTGAGCCCAGGAGTTCGAGACCAGCCTGGGCAACACAGCAACACCTGTCTCTACAAAAATATTTAAAAATTAGCCAGACTTAGTCCCAGCTACTCAGGAGGCTGAGGCGGAAGGATCGCCTGAGCCCAGGGGATTGAGGCTGCGGTGAGCCGTGATCGTGCCACTGCACTCCAGCTTGGGCGACACAGTGAGATCTCGCCTCATTAAAAAAAAGACCAGTGGCTCACGCCTGTCATCCCAGCACTTTGGGAGGTGGAAGCAAGAGGATTGCCTGAGTCCAGGAGTTCGAGACCCGCCTGGGCAACTTGGCGAGACCTCATCTCTACAATAAATCAAAAAAGTAGCCGGGTGTGGTGGCACGCGCCTGTGTTTCCAGCTACTTGGAAGGCTGAGGCGGAAGGATCGCCGGAGCCCGGCAGGTCGAGGCTGTGGTGAGCTGTGATCATGCCACTGCCCTCCAGCCTGGGTGACACCTCATTTAAAAAAAAAGGAGAAACTGAGGCTTGAGGCAACTTGTCCAGGGGCCCACAGCCAGGAAGTGGTGGAGCCCAGAACCTCTAGACTGGCTTCAGGTGTCTTTAGGGAATACAGACATGTATGTCCCTAAACGTTCCCTACAGCTGAGAGGGACCCACCCACCTGCTGAGTGGCAAGGCTGATGTTTGGGAGATAACTCGTTCTGACCACATGCACCCATGCCCTTGACCGGAACACTGAGGGAAATTGTGACTCGCCCCGGTAGGCACCATGAGGCTTTTGCTACAAGCCACGTAACCCCTGCCTTCCTTTTTTTTTATTTTTTTGCGTTGGAGTCTCACTCTGTCACCCAGGTGGGTGGACAGTGGCACACTCAAGGCCACCCCAGCATCGACCTGCTGGAATCCAGCGATTCTTCTGCCTCAGCCTTCCAAGTAGTTGGAACCACAGGTGTGCACTGCCACGCCTGGCTAATTTTTGATTTATTGTAGAGACAAGGTCTTGCCACATTGCCCAAGCTGGTCTCGAACCCCTGGGCTCAAGCAATCTTCTTGCCTCGGCCTCCTAAAATGCTGGGATGCCAGGTGCGAGACACCGCACCCAGCTACTGCTTTCCATTTCTCTGCACCCGCCTTCCACGCCATCAAATTATCTACAGCATTTCACGTTGCCGTTGGTGTGTGGCCCGTAGCGTTCCCCAGTTCCCTTCCAGTCCTGTACTTACTACTTCATTCACGCATTCATTCACTCATTAAGCATGTCTGGGGCTCGGTGGCTCAGTCTGTCATCCCAGCATTTTGGGAGGCTGAGGCAAGTGGATTGCCTGAGCCCACGGGCTTGAGACCCACCCAGGCAACTTGGTGAGACATCCTCTCTAAAACAGATCAAAATTAACCGGGCATGGTAGTGCACGCTTATAGTTCCGGCCACTTGGAAGGCTGAGGCGGAAGGATCGCCGGAGCCCAGCAGGTGGAGGC